TCCACCTCTTGCTGGATGTGAGATACCAGCCACGGGACCGACACTTGCCCTGCATTCAACGGTGGATGCCCCCGTCCTTGATTTGGTGTGGTGGTCGGCATGTCGAAGCCCAAACGATCACGGATGAGCGGCCCCCAACCTCCTCCGGGTTTGGTCGTGGAACCAATGATGGCATCTCCAGATATAGGAAGCCCGGTGAGGATCGCCACGTCTTTGAGGGTGATCGTCATTTCCCCCTCCGGAAGGTGGAATGTATGGGTTTCGGGACGCCATCGTTCCGCCATTGCCGTAAGCAGCTCGTTGTCGATCTCGATCCGCAAGAAATGGCGCAACATTCCCAAACCGGTCCTCGCTATATAGGGCTCCAACCTTGGATGCCAAGCGGGCAAGTTATTGGTCCCTTTATGAACCACGGGAACAAGAGATTCCTAAAAAAAATAGGAAAAACATCAATTAATTAGATTAAATAAAGCAAAATAAAATATTAGAAAATAATAAAATAAAGCAAGTCAGTTCATCAAATTACCGGATTGTTATCCCAAATGGCACGGGAGCGATGCATTTCTTGATCGGTTAAGAGACTCGCATCCCTTGGGCCATAATGGATATACAATCGAGGATCGTATATCTCGGCACCCATCTATAAAAAAAGTAATATAATCAGAGATTGTTTTGATAAAAAACAAATCAAATTGTTTCGATTAAAAAAAATCACAAACCAAAAACCTACACGAAGAGCCTCTTCGTCCATTATTGGCGGAAGCCGGACAGAGGTTCGACGGGTTTAGCTTTGTAAGGGACGGGAACTTAGCGGGACGGGGGCTTTAGGGTCAAACTCTAGTAATTCTTTCTGATGTGGAAGATCGGACTTAGCCGCAACCACAGAGCATACTTAGAACGAGACTAGAGCGGATAAATTGAGGGAGAAAGAAGTGAAATGTTTGTGGGGTGAGTTGAAAGTGAAAGGGGAAGGGGGTATTTATAGTTTGGGGGAAGGGGGGAGGAGCTGCTGCGCAGTTATTAGGGCTCCATTCACCGCGTTTGATGAACGCGGTGAACTCACCGCTTTAACCAAACGCGGTGAATGCAAAGGTGACGTGGCGTGTTGTGAGGCGTCGGATCGTGGGAAGAAAACCACGATCCGCGTCTCACCGCATCTAACGGCCACGGTGAAAGCACATTGGCGCGGATTGCTGACGCAAACAAACACGGGTTATTCACCGTGTTTGTCTAACGCGGTGAATACCCCGTGCTGTCCACGTCAGCATCTTCACCGCAGCCGACAAAAACGGTGAAGCCTTCACCGTTTTAGTTTAAAACGGTGAAGGCATCACCGTGTTAAATTAAAACGGTGAGGTATTCACCGTTTTTAACAAAAGCGGTGAACCCTTCACCGTTTTAGTTTAAAACGGTGAAGTACTCACCGTGTTTGTCAAACGCGGTGATGACCTTCACCGTTTTAGACAAAAACGGTGATGCTCAAACATGTGTAGTTTTGGAATTTTTTTTATAACTAATGTATTTTGGGAATTTTTTTTAAAAACTAGTGTACTTTGGGATTTTTTCCGCAGACTGGAGTGTCTTTAAATGCAACCGAATCAGTGTGGGGCTTTTGTTGGATTTGGCATGTTAGATTTACAAGTTCCTCGTATGCATCATTTTTCCATCTTTACTTTTATGGATGTGCATGATTCTTCAAGACGTCACTACTTAGTAGTACTAACATCATAAATATTAACATAATATCATAAATTCAAGCAAATAATTACAAAGATTGGAAGTCAGAGCAACTCAGTTTCCACCTCAACATCATAAATAATAATATAACTAGTTTTTTGGCCCGCGCTTCACAGCGGTGAGATTTATGTAATATACATGTTTAACTAAAATATATGAAATAACTACCCTCCGTTTTACGTAATGTATTTATAATTTAGTTTATGTAATGTGTGGTCTAATAATAAAATTAAATTAGAAAAGTTATCATATTTATTATGTAAAATCAAATTACCTTATGGAATAATATCAAATTAGAAAAGGTATCATATTCTACTAATATATTATGTAAAAGTTAACTTATCTTATGGAATCTTTTTGTAATGCAAATTGATGAGATATTGAATATTGTAGTTAATAATAAAGAAATTTTAATAAATAATTAGAGAATTAAATTAAGAAGAGTATCACATTTGATTAAACTATTATGCAAAATATAACTAAGCTTATAAAACTTTTGTGTAATGAAAATTGTTGAGATGATCAACCTTAAAATATCATTACAATTTATATTACGAAAGACTTGCATAATAATTTTTAATTGATACATAAGAAACAATTATCCCTCGATAAGTTTTATGCAATGACTTAATCATTATGAAAGTCATTCCCTATTGTGTTTTTCTTAATTGATACATAAGAAATAATTATCTCTCCATAAGTTGTACGTAATGTCTTAACCCCTACAAAATTCACACCCTATTATGTTTTGTTTAATTCATACATAAAAAAATTAATGCTTAAAAATTGTCTCTCTCTCCGTATGTTTTACATAAGTCTTAATCATTACGAAAGTCACACCATATTATGTTTTGTTTAAGTTGATACATTAAAAATAACTATTACTCTATAAGTTTGATATGATATAATATACGTGACTTTTCATAGCACGGTGTTACGTAAATATTTCGTAATGTACGGTCTAATAATAAAATCAAATTATAAAAAGTATTGCATTTTGTTATACCACTACGTAGAAGACACCTTTATGTGTAATTTCTTCATATGTTACGTGACTTTTTATAGTACGGTGCTACGTAAATATTTCTTAATGCGCAGTCTAATAATAAAATCAAATTATAAAAAGTATCGCATTTTTTTAGACCACTACGTAAAAGACACCTTTATGTGTAATTCCTCATATGTTACGTTACCTTTTATAGCACGGTGTTACGTAAATATTTCGTAATGTGCGGTATAATAATAAAATCAAATTATAAAACATATCACATTTTGTTAGACCACTACGTAGAAGCCCCTTTATGTGTAACTCTTCATATGTTACATGGGTTTTTATAGCACGGTGTTACGTAACTATTTCATAATGCGCGGTCTAATAATAAAACCAAATTATAAAAGTATCGCATTTTGTCAGACCACTACATAGAAGACACCTTTATGTGGAATTCCTCATATGTTACGTGACTTTTTATAGTACGGTGTTACGTAAATATTTTCTAATGTGCGTCTAATAATAAAATAAAATTATAAAAGTATCGCATTTTGTTAGACTACTACGTAGAAGACACCTTTATGTGTAATTCCTCATATGTTACGTGACTTTTTATAGCACAGTGTTACGTGAATATTTTCTAATGCGCGTCTAATAATAAAATCAAATTATAAAAAGTATCGCATTTTGTTAGACCACTACATATAAGACCCCTTTATGTGTAACTTTTCATATATTACGTGACTTTTTATAGCACGGTGATACGTAAATATTTTGTAATGTGCGGTCTAATAATAAAATCAAATTATAAAAAGTATAGCATTTTGTTAGAGCACTATGTAGAAGAACCCTTTATGTGTAATTTCTCATATGTTTGTGCATGTACCCTCTGTAGCTAATAATTTGGATTGAAAAAACTACAACAAATGTAATGAACAATGTTTGGCGGAAGAATTGAGGGGTGGGAGTTTTTTTCGTAAGGAACAATAACATTGACTTGTGCTTTTAATTAATTGATGATCGATTGGATTGAATATGATTTTAACCATACGAAACCGAAACAAATTTGGTCAATTCGATGTTAACCCATAAACCGGGATCACTCAGTGGACTGGCACTCCAAAGCGTTACCGTTTTGATCAAATTAAACTAAAAATAATGAAAACAAATATAAACTGGGTGTTTTATATAATCTTTTAGCTCCATTCCTTGTAATTTTCTGGGACATGTTTCATATCATCTTGTCTATGGGCCCTTGCATTCATGTTCTTATTTTTGTTCAAGAACCTGCATATCTCCAACCTTAACATACACGAAAAGAGGCATAAAACAGTACATCAATAGGAGAATAAAATGACACAAACCAATACAAATCTCTGTTTTATTCATTGAGCAACAGGCTCTGCGAAGGGTACACAAAAAAGGAGAGCCTAGTTAATCAATAACAACAAACCACCGTTATGCATCATTTTATCAAATATAAAATGGTCGAATCTTCTCACAGAGTTGAGTGATACAACATCTTGTATGGTACAAACTAAATTTATTCTTTTGCGTTATGGTGGATTGGATTCGTAGATTGGTTCAAAAGGATTGGTGGATTGGATTCATGGATTCAAGTGAAATCAAAACATTGGACCAATATGTAAATTTAAAAAAATTGTAGGTACGAAAATCTCATAAAATTTAGATACCAAAACATAATTGTCCAATGATTTTACATTAAAATTAAATCCGGGGTATCAAAATATAAAATATACATTATAGTGACAAAATTGTGATTTAATTAAATTTGAGGTATAAAATGTAAATGTGTTAGGCAACAATAATCTTACTTTGGCTTTATATATATTAATGTCATGTGGAGAAGCTATATATCCTCTCTGGTTTCTAGTGAAGTGTGGTGCTGCGTACATGGAGGACATGACAAGATTTACAGAATTAGGGTTGAGATTTGAGTCTTGGGGAATGAGAAGAGCCCTCCAGTGGGCTACTAAAGTCTAAAATACATGGGTTTTGCGATCTGATCCTGATAAATCATTATCTGAACATGACTGAGGAAATCAGAACAACAGACCGCATATCAAACAAATATATTAATAACGATGTACAATCCAAAAACATTGTGTCGACCAATTTGTTCTATAACTTTTCAAACGATGGTAGTATATTTTCCCCCTCTAGGAATGATGATGTTGATGATGATATAAAAGAAGAACGTAAATGAATAAGCAATTTACCTACGTACCTATGTGTTGGAATTTCATACATATATAACAAAACATCTTTATATAAAATCAACATATATAAAAATTACATCATCAACACACTCCTAGCACCTAGCTATAAGCCTATAAAATTCTCATGCATCACGTACATCGTGGCCACAAACTGAAAATTAATCACAGCAAGCCAAAAGATCGATAGATTGATCTCTCGAGGTCTCGTACGAACAAAATCTTGCTTGAAGAAGCCTTTCACCGCAGTTGATGCTCAAGATGATTGTTGATGATCTCGTCGCTTGATTCACCGTAAGCACGATCATGAGTAACAATGTGGGCGCGGCAAAGGGGACAGCTCCTCTTGTAGGCTTCAGCGAGCCAACGTTGTAAACAGCTTGTATGATAGACATGGCAGCACGCCGTGAGAAGGCTTCGCTCGTCCCCGTCCTCGAACTCCTCCAAGCAAATCGCACATTCTTCCGATGATCTTCTTTCGTCTCCTTGATCTCTTTGGGTTTTCTTGAAGATCTCAACTCTATACCCGTGGAAACCTTGCTCCACGTCTCCCAATGGTTCCCTTTCCCGGTGCTCGATCCAGTAGAGGAACAAAACGATTGCTAGAATGACGACAACGGGACTCCACAGCAAAATATGTGTGAAACGATCCATCAGAAGCGCAAAATTATACTGCGGCTGGCATTCGTATGTTGACGTCGACATTATATATTGTGGTACTGCAGTCGTCCAACAGTACTAAGGCGAGTGCAGGTTTCCAATTTCCTTAATTAGTTGATTACTGCCGGTGGTGGCTACTTATATACAAAATGGCTAGCCGTGACCGTGCCCGACCAGGAGGCGGAAACCCAACCTAATACTTTTTCCGCTGTAGATTCGGATTCGGAATTGTTAGACGGTCTCAGTGTCCATGAAACCGTACCGTACCGGCGGTTCAACCACGAAATACTAGTATCGGAGGCTAAACCGATAGGCGGTATTTACCGGCATAACGGTTGAACTATGGCTAAACCACGGTTTTACCATAAAATACCCTACCGGTGACTTTCCCGGTACGATCTCCGGTACAGTTTCATGGACCATGCTGCTGATCAGTTGCTACCCCATATATTGGGGCTAAGATTAGGTGACTAAGTCGATCTCAGCCCTTTAAGTTCATTAAAATCCAATGGCTCCAATTAATTCAATTTAAAAAGGGTAATGCAGTAATTGCATGGTTATTCTTTTAATTATTAATAATTAAAAAATTATTTATTTATGCACGTTCCATCCCTCCGCATCTATGAGTGATTTCCGATGACGACTCTGCAACTCCGCCGGCGGTGGGATTACTCCGGCCAAGAAACTGCCGACCAGATGCGCCTTCCTCGTGGCGGTCCTCAATTCCCAATTGTCCTTCCAAAGCTCCTGTTCCTGGCGGTCCTTTGTTTGTAGGGAATTGGGAATTTTCCATCCAAAGCTCCTGTACGACAGTGGTCGCTTGTTATGTTTGTCGGACTATTTTGTAATATTTGTAAGTCTGGTTTGTAACTTTGTATTAATTCGGTTGGTATCGTATATTATTGTAGTTTGTCATTTTTATCTATTATGTTTGTAATGTTTATATGACTAATTTGTATATATTGTAATTTGTAATGTTTGTTTGTTTGTTTTGTATACTTTGTATTTATTGGTGTGTAATTCCAGTTTATCGATTTGTATTATAAGTAGTGGTTTTTTTGTACGATTAGTATGGTTTGTATTGTTTTTCAGTTTATTTTGTAATATTTGTAAGTTTTGTTATTTTTGTAATATTTGTTGGTTTCTTTTGTAATGTTAGTAAACTTTGTTATTTTTGTTCACCATATTTGTCATTTTTATCAACCATATTTGTAATGTTTGTATACTTCTGATTTTTATGCTTTGTATTATTGGTTTGTATTGTAAGTAGTTGTAATTTGTACAGTTAGTATGCTTTGTATACAATGTTAGTATTATTTGTCTACTTTATGATATGATTTGTATACTTTGTAATATTAATTTGTATACTTTTATGATGTGGTCTGTATACCTTGTAATATTTAGTAGTGATATTTTCTGTTTTTAGTAACCTTTGTATGTAATGTTTACATGATTTGTATACTTATATTTTGTGGTTCTAATACTTTTTAATATTGTTTTTTTATACTTTTATGATATAGTTTGTATACTATGTACTATTGATTTGTAAAGAAATCCGAATCGATTTGTATGGTAAGCAATTGTATTTTGTATACATGGTAATATTAGTTTGTACATATTTGTGATACGATCTGTACAATTTTATATTATGATTTGTAAATAATTAATTTTTGCATTTTAATTATAATGTTTGTACATTATGTATTTGTTACTTTGTACATTATGTATTTGTTACTTTGTGATTTTTATTATTAAAAAGGAAAAAAGCTAATGCAAAAAGAAACAAAGAAAACTCTCGTGATAAAGAAAAGAAAAAGAGCAGAATTATATAAAAAAAAAATGAGCGTGCGATACACATACAGCCAGTGAGCGGGAAAAAAACAAAAGTGTAATTACTTTTTTAATAATATCATAACTGTCCTTTTCATTAATCAAATATCTTTTCCCATTTTTTAGCCATTAGATTAGAATATCTAGATCCAAGGGATAGGAGAGACTTAGTCACTTTGACCAAGTACCCCATATATTGTAAGAATAGCCCATTTACTCTGTATTAGTGATTAGTGTGGTTCATGAAGCCCATGCAAGGCTTACGTAAGAGCAGTAGCATAGCCAGGATTTCGTTTAAGGTGAGTCCACCTCGAAAAAAATAAATATGATAAAATAGTTTTCTTAATATAATCTTACGTTGAAAACTTTTGATATATTAAAATGCATTACCAGTCGAAAATATCAAGAATATCACTCTGCTTATATACCAAACAATCATTGATTTAGTGAGTCGTAGTGTTTCAAATGGTGTTCTTTGTTAAGAACCGTTAGTATCAATACCTCGAGTTGTTGATAGAGGTTTAATAATAAATCTTATACCAACCAATAATTCATGATTTACCTAGTCGTTCGCTTTCGAATGATGTTCTTAAAAAATATATTTAGTATCAATAAATCGAGTTTTTGAAAGATTTCAATAATATATTATACCATTTACTACCATGCTCCCGTATAAAAAAGTCAACTTATTCGAAATTGATGTTTGCACAAATCTGTATATCGTATGCTTAAGAAATGAGATCGCCGAAATTCAAACACAAAACTTTTCGACCAATTATTCTCAATTAAACGCGGCCTAGTTTTCGATATCAATTAACTATCGTACCTAATTTAACCATTTTTCCCGAACCCGGGACCCACCCTGTTACCCTCTTCCTCCGCCACTGCGTAGAAGGCAGTGTTTCGGATGAAAGTCTGTGGCTGCGGTACGGTATGATAAGTAGGAGAGTTTCCGTGCACTCTGTGGACTAGTTCCGTTGATTAAGGATAGTAGGATACTACGTAAATCAATTGTGTTGTAGATTTCGTTTTTTACTTTTTTTACAATGTCTAACACCAATATATAAAAATCAATATTGGGGTTTATTCGATAATTCTATTGTGTACAATTGTACATAATAATATATTATCTGCTTGCATATATTAATAAAATCAATAATAATGTGGTTAACATGTAACAGTAACTGCTCTCGATCCTAATCGAAGAGGTCATTAGCTAGTTGCCTAAATGTTTTCTCTATTCTCTTCCAAATACGAATGGCAATGGGTCTATTCGTTGGATAATTTGATCCAATTATCATTACTAATATGGAAATTGGATCGAATTCAAATGGACTCATGTGTACCTTTTTCCATCTCTCCACTAATGTGTTAATAATATAATTAAAATAAAATTATATTCGAAATTAAATCATTAATTTTAATTAATTTAGTTATAAGAAAAAACAGTTACTAATATATCATAAATAACGTGGAAATTTTTGCTAGGAGGCACAACAAATACTCCGCTACAGGGGTACGACCAATGTGCTCCCATGGAACCCAGTTATCTTGCCCTTTCTCAGAAGGGCACGGTTGGAGTCGATTACGAATTTTGTGGGCATAAAAGTCGATCGCCAACTAATCACCGCATTAGTGGAGAGATGAAAAAAGGAGACACATTGTTTCAACTTTCGTGAAGGGGAATGCACCATCACGCTAAAGGACGTCGTCATCCTAACCCATCTGCCCATCGACGGCAAAGCGGTGTGTGTGAGTGATCATCCCCCCGAGGATCGTGACGGTATGACCGGTTGGCAGCATTTCATCCACAGTGTTTTGGGGGTGAAAGTACCAATCAAGGGGAGCGTTCTTCTCATAGGCATGAACAGAGGAGTGTTCTTCTCCAAAAAAATCGAGCAATTTAATTAGCTGTGGATGGCTTAGGATCCTCCTTGGTAGTTGGGATGAGATGGGGGAGTTGAGCTAGCCATCCGCTTGCCTAGCTAATATATACCACCATTTGTGCAATGCATCTCTCAAAGCTGTGAAGGAGGTCGGTGGCACAATGTTCATCGTCCAATTTTGCGCTTGGGAGCATCTGCCATGGATTGCACCGTTCAAATGGCCCGACAGGAATTGGGGTCCCGATCATCCTCTAAGACTCAAAGCTTATGGTTGTAGGTAAACTTTTCATTATTGTCTTCTTAATAAGGTGGATTGGAGCCTCAACATGCGACAACCTTGCCCAACACAAGTTGGTAGAGTATCGGAGGAGGCTAGAGCGACTTTGGGAAGGAGAGATAACTAGAATACTTCGAATTGCTATAACTTTTTTTCATGGAGTACATGTATTTTTCCAATTTTGTTTAACTTAAGTTACTAATTTATTTTTGTATATCATCTTTGATCCATACCCGGCGAACATCGTTCATTGGCATTTACAGCAATTCCCTGGTCATATCGGGCAATGGTGCACGAGGGTCCCTCTCATTTGTTTAGGGACCGTGGAGTGGCACCTGCCAGATCGATGCCTTCGTCAGTTTGGTCGTGAGCAGTGCATTTTTTTGGAGGTCCCCGAGAGTCAAAGGGCGTTTCACCACCGAGATGGTCGGCAAGGTACTCACGATTGGTCCACGAAGTTGGCAGCAATGATCACGATATGGGAGAACCGACAACTTCAGGAGATTGTAACTCCAACAAATGTGGGTCGAATGGGGTATCATGACCCATACATGGATAGATATCGGCAAACATCGGTTCGGTACGTGACTCCGGAGGGTGCAGCCGATGGTGCATTGGTAAGTATATTCCGTCTAAACAATTAAATTTATTGCTTGTTTCATGGAGACACATCATTTGTCTTATCTTGCTAACCTTTTTTATGTGATTTAGGCTTATGGGATCAAGCGGATCAAAGATTTTACCCATGGGAAACATGAATGGGCAGTGAAGATGTGAGCTTCATCAGGAGGATGACAAACAGTTTGCTTGGCTGTATCAGAGCACAGGGTCGTGATCATCGTAGATACCCGACCATGCCCGCACCGGTGCCACCTCCGGTACAAGTTGATGTCCCCCACCCCCCACCACCATACGAGAGAAAGAAAAGCAAGAAGGTTCGGGAAAGACCCAATGCGCCTGAGATAAGGCCGTTGGATGCGTGGAGAGTTCCGCCCCCTTGGTTGTGGCACACGGTGGCGGTC